CTGAAATCTCCACTTGTGCCTGTAAACCCTCCACCTCCTCCTCTGGTCGTGCCTCCAACTTGCCCTTGAGGTCCTCCAGCACTCCCAAACCCTTGGCTCACTGAACCAGGGGTCGAATGACCATTCTGGTCCAAGCCAGCCATGTTCAGAGGACCGGGACCAAATGCCCCTCTTCTGCCCGTCGATTGAACACCGAAAGAGTCGCCAGAGTTGCCACCAAGTCCATCCAATTGCTGCGCTGGTGGCATTCCAAACCCTGCTGATACATCGAATGACTGGCTCTGTGCTGAAGCCCCTAACATGCCACCACTGCTAGCGACACTCGCTCGCTGCGCATCTGCACTACTAGGGTTCATCACCGTTGCACCATAGGGAACAAGAGTCCCCCCAGCTCCTTGAACAAGGCCAGGCCCTCCTCCAAATCCATCCTGCCCACCTGCAAAGCTTGCCCGGCCACTGAAGCCTGGCTGTTGTTGCTGTTGATCCATTTGTCCTTGCGCACCCAGGAATCCTCCTGCACTTTGCGTGCCTGCAGGTCTCGACTGGCTGTACATTTGCTGCGCGCTCTGCATCCCCCCCCCACCAACTCCCATATTGCTACCAATTCCAGCAACTCCAGTGGGATCAACCCCACCTCCCCATCTGCCACCTTGTGCCGCTCCCATTCCACCCACTGCACCCATTCCTCCACCCCCCATTGGCCCATTGCTACTAGGCCCATACATACCGGCGGTGCCTGGTGGCCTAAGATGACCTCCCATGCCTCCAGCAGGATTTACCATCCCTTGTGCAGAGGAAGCCCCTCCTGGCACTTTCTGTGGAAACGGTGGGAGCTGCACCCCCGCCAGCCTAGGCGGCTGAATGTTCTTATAAACTCCAGACACAATGGCCTGTGCGACTTCCTTCGTCACAGATTTTCCTGCCTGTGCAACTGTTACCAGTTGCAGTGCAGTGTAGAACTCAGGTTTTGTCAGGAATCCGTTCTGCCGACGATCGGCATGCAGCCAAATCTGAGCAAGAACATTCTGTGGGAGGCTCGCTCGCTGGAAGAAGCTCACCGCTTCTTGGCCGCTGATTTGGCCGTCATGATCCTGATCAGCAAGCTGGAAAAGCATATCCCAATGCTCGGCCGCCATCCTGAGGGAAATGTGCTCAAGTGACTCCAAATGCTTTACTGCTACACCTCAATTTCTTCTATTACATAGTAGTCTACATTTCAACACCAGCAGAAGATTGTTCACCATACATTCTGTTAGCCAGGTGGGATACACCTGCCAGTGAGGTAGCAAAATGACAAA